CTCTCTCTCTCTCTCTCTCTCTCTCCCTCTCTCTGTCTCTCTCCAAGTCCCTTACCTTGTCGATGGCGGGGAACCGCGATGGCGGGCATTGGCGGGCGATGGTGGGGCCGGCGGGGTCACGCGCGGTGGCTGGTGTTGGCAGGTGCTGGCGGCGTCGAAGTCCAGCGGAGCGACACAACTGCAGGGCAGGGAACAGGGGGACCCGTCTTTCCCGAACACAACGCACCCTCATTTTGGCTGTATCTGGCCGGAAATATAACTCCTATACATTCATTTTTAGGGTGCGTTATGTTTTGGGGGGAAGACGGTAAGGGGCTACACCGTGAGAATGGAGGAGGGAACGGGGGCGGGTAGTTCCCGCCCTCACCGATTTGAAATCGCGGCCATCTGGGCCATCGTTTTTTTATTTCGACGATCCAGATTGGGCCCGATTTCGAATCGGTGAAATCAGGCCTGCCGGCCCCCTTTTTTTTTTTTTGGTGGTCTGCATAGTCGGCCATGAGGGCGAAAAGGCCACCAGCGCCGAAAAAAAAATAAAAAAACTAACCTGCACTGATGCGCTGGGGGCGCCCGGTGGCCAACCGGGCGTGACAACCGGCCAGGCGGCCCGCCCCCCCCCCCGGGCGACGACCAGGCCGCCGGGGGGGACCAGCACTGAAAAAACACACAATCAACAAAGCATAAATTGAAAAAATGAAAAGCAAAAAAAAGAAAACGGCAATAAACAAAGCATAAATTGAAAACAAAAGCAACCGGGCCAGCAGCCTAGCTTAGTTTCGCACGCAAGTGGCATTTAAAAGCACTTGTGGGTTCAATCCCCCACGGCCGCCTGCGGCATGCTTGCTGTTCATCAGCCGAGATAGTTGGCTTGCCCTCCCCTGGTCAGCCTTGGCAGGGTCCTGGGTTCTCTCCGAGGGCCTTTCACTAGTGCCATTCCTCACAGGGGTTAGATCCCGGGTCTAGTGGATCTTGGCTGTGCTTCGCCATGGGTTGCTGTGCTTAGACATGTTGGTAGGTACCATGAGGTATAATTGAGAGACAACTATATCTTAGTTTTTTAAATGAAAAAAAAAAAAGCAACCATGAAGGAAAAGCAAACACGAACCCAGCCAGTCCGGCCGATTGCTATACACATGGACAGATCGTGAGTTTAATCTTCAAACTCCAAATTCCAATCCCTGTTTTTTACCCCGGTGTCATGCTCATCTTTCTTTCTTTTTTTTTTTTTTTTTTTTTTTTTTTTTTTTTTTTTTTTTTTTATTAAGCCCCGGTTGTTGTAGAGGTGGGTAGTAGACCGATGGCAATCATCCACAGTACTCGGGCACTCGGTTGTCATGCTTATCTTGGATTTTGTGTGATCTCTCAATGTGTGTTGTCATATTCGCTAGACACTCAAAAAAAGCATGACTGTACCAGACTGTTTCGTCGGACTTTCACCGACTCATCAGGAGGTTGTGCTCAAGGTGACGAACAGTGTGGCTCAATGCATCTGCATGGTTCCAATCGTAAACCACCTGTACACCCAAGACGGAGGGCGCTGCACTGCGCAAAGTACTCGGGCACTCGGTTGTCATGCTCATCTTGGATTTCGTGTGAAATCTCAATGTGTGTGTGTGTTTTAGATTTTCCCCACAACAGCCCCAGTTCCACCCAGGTGAATAGATTCAGAATCAAAGCAGTCTTTGTCCTATTGCAGACAACGACAGCATTTGAGATGTCCAACATATTAAAGCAGTTTTATAAGTAGACAGTTTTTTGGTTGTCCTTGGGGTACCCCTTTCATTGTTCTTGCAGCTCCCCTTTTACGGTGCCTCTTACGCACAAGGCTGCCCACGTTGATTGTGGTTGAGCGGCAGCTGCCCACATCCCCGTATGCCTTCATGGCCCACTTGCACGCTATCTCAGGAGGCAGAGTAAAATGGAAGGTATGCTCCTGTGCATCTCTAAGAGCTTCATACTCCTGTTCATTTCACTTCAGATGTTCAGCTTATACAGCCTTAGTGTCCGTCCTTCATCTTCATACTTCCGTTCATTTCATTTCTGATCTTCATATCGTCTACTCTTAATGATGCTCATTCGTATGTATTTGTTAGTAGTACAAAGGGAGTGGAGGGGAGGGTGGAGGGTAAGGGATAGAAGGCGGAGTTCTCTAGGAGTATGGAGCAGGAGAGGTGAGGGGCGGAGTTCTCCAGGAGTATGGAGCAGGGGCGGTGAGGGCAACGGGAAGGAAAGAAATATGTGGAGGGCAGGATAGAGTATGACATGCAAAGAGCAGGGGAAAGGTGTATGATGGGTTTCACAGATTTCTAAATATTCACCGCCGAAGCAGACTACTCTAGCATTAAAAAAAAAAAAAAAAAAAAAAAACTATGGCGAGTGGCCACCCCTACAGACCGGACAGGACCGGTTCGGGTGTGGGCTATGGAAGCACCGCATCCAATTTTCACAGTCACAGTTGCTGCATCGAATGGCACGGCGCAGACAGATGTCACAGACTACGTGGCTCGTACATGCTAGGAACACAGAGGCACGTCGACCGCAATATTAAAGGCATTGCCGTTCCAGCCCGTCTACAAATTGGACATGACATGTCGGGGTGCTGTACATGAGTACAGTACTGACTGTCATCGTACGTATGGAAGCAAAAACTCACATGGACTATACCTTCATAATCCTCACGGCACAAGGCATGTGAACCACATGCTAGTTGAATCTCCGGCGGGTCATCACAAAACGGCATGGAGCATCTTTCTTGGGCTTCCTCAGTATGTATTCCTTCTCTATGGGCAGACGACGACGGGGAGGATCAGTCCAACGCAAGGGCATTGAACTGCTGCAGGATATGATCCGCAACAGCTCGCCCTGGTGGTGATAAACTATGAGCACATCGTTTTGCCGATGGTTCATATAGAAGTCTATTTTCCTCCTCGGACTGCTGTGTTTGTCGTTCTTCTGGCTAGAAAGAGGGAGATCCGTCAGCGGTTGCCGTAGGTGTATGACCAATAACGCATGCGGGACATGCTAGGAGAGGATGTGGAGGGTGATGGCACTGGGGATAGTCCACGCAGCAAAGACACATACTTTCTATGACAGCTTCCTGGAAGCATTGATGACACATGGCATGTTGCTGACATGTCATTAGTAAGGAAGGCTGACGTGCACAGTTATTTAAGCATGGCAAATCAAGGCCACAACAGCATGCTGGGCAAGCAATCAGGGGGTGGGGGGGATGAGCACAGGACTGGGGATCACAATTTTTGTGTGAGAGGCTAGCAGCGACCATCCCTTCATAGCATAGTTGCGGCGCATGTCGGTGTGCCGGCTTGCGCACGGTTTGCGCACGTCGCGCCGCGCACCGCACAGCGCACCGAAGCGCAGCGCACTTGAAAAATTAGGTCCAAAAAAAAAGTAAAAAAAGTAGGGGTTTTCTAATTTCTTACGGCCCCCAACTCGGCAAAAATGTTAAACTCACCACGCAAGTTCACAAACCGGCCGCACCCACAGCCCGAACTAAGGGCTGCTGAAAATTTGATTTGCGCAGGCCCTTCCCCAAAAAGTTTCGAATGGCGAGGCACAAAATAGGGCTCATTCCAACTTTTGTTTTAGGCGGGGTATGAGAGATGTCCTTCCCGCCGCCTTCTGCAAATCCCACACAGTACTGGGGTCAGTTCGCAAGAAGGGGTAGTCGCCTAATAACGACATGCCCCGCGAAGCTTCGCAGAAGTCGCAAATTGGATGTTCTATTGCCAGCCGACCACCAATATATGCTGAAGATTGGCGTTCAGGTCCGCATGTCGGCAGTTATGGGTTAGGATGAAGATGCCTGTGGCTCTCTCGTTTCTTTGTTTTTGTTTTCTTACAAATACGTCCAGTGGGGCCTGCTCCACTACTCACCAAATGCACAAAAGACATAGCATATGGCGGTGTATGGTTCCA